GCTTAGGGGAGCCTAACCTGGGGGGGGCACGAAAGAGGTCTAATTTGGGGCGGGCGTCCTCTTGGGGAGGGGGGGACCTTGAGGAGATGGACCTTCTTGTGTGAAGGGAGAAAGAGATCGTGGTCTGTTGCGGGGCTGGGTTAGGGCGTGTGCAGGGTGGCCATTCGGGGAGCTGGAGCCTGGGAGATGCTAGTGGTGGGAAGAGAGCGAGGGTCTCCCGGGGAGCCAGGAGTAGGGCTGGCTTGGGAGGTGGGTCGTAGGAATATGGAGGAAGCCGGCGGGGGGGTTGCTTAATTGAGCAGGAGGAACTGTACTAGAGGCTGATCGTGGAGGGGAGGATCTGGTTATGGGGAGGGATTCAGGATCCTTCCAGAGGAGGAGAGAGCAGGTCTGAAGGAGAAGGTGACCCTCGATAGAGCCAGGCCAGGGTGCCACCTGGGGGGGGGGGGCTGGGCAGGTGTATTCCTGGAGGGCCTTCGAGGAGGGGGGGCTTGAATCAGGTGGGGTGTGTTCATGTCCTAGATAGTTTAGCATGGGGGGGAGGTAGGGGGAAAGACAGGGGAGGGTAAGAAAGGAAAGAAAAAGGAGAAATCCAGCCAGGTGGGGAGGAAGGGTACATTCCCCTCCCGCCCATTGCAAGACGGATAGGGCTGGGGAAAGGAGAAGGGGGAAGTTTTTGATGCAAACTCTGCCGCTGATAGAAATGGAGGAAGGGAATGGAAGCGGGCTGTAACGACAGAGCAGGCAGCAGGGTGGGGGGAGTAATGTGCCATGGGAAGGAAATGGAGAGGCTGAGGAAGACGATGGATAAGGGAAGATCATTCCATGGCACGACTGCTGGAGGGTAAAATTGAGGCTCTGAGGGTGTGTGTATCTGTACTTGCAACGGAGTGGGTGTGGTATCTGCAGAATGGATGCATGTGCGGATGTATTCTGTATCTCCCCCCGCCCTTTTTTTTTCCCTGCATGCATCTTGCATAGCCATCCTTCGCAGAAAGGACTGCAGAGCCAGTAGTGAACATTCTGGAACCTGGTTGGAATGGATGGGCTGTCCTTCCTGATCAGCGCAGGAGTGAGGGCTTTTTTAAACAAGGCAAAGAAAAGGATTTCACAGCCTTCTTTTTCCCCACCCCTTCAAAAGAGCTCTTCGTCCTCAAATGCATACCTCTTCTCCCCTTATAAACCTACATACTCACACCTGCAGATGAAACTGCAGTTTCCTAGTAACAGATGAGAAATTTGGATGGGGTGAGCCCCTGGGCATGTAACTGAGGGACCCAGATAATTCATTTAACTCATTCTGTTCCCAATCCTGCATTGACAAACAAAGAATGTTTTGATTGTGGTTTCTAGCCTTGCGGAAGTGGAGGGAGGTGCTGAATGGAGACAAAACTGAGATGGAAACAAACAATTCTTGGTAGGTGGGAGATAGCTTTGCTTAACTGAGATAATTTGTGGGTTGGCTGCCATGGAACTTGGTTCAAAAGTGCTGTTGTTGTGTTTCATAGGGTTTTTAAGGAGTGACTATTGCGGCTCCTGAAATTCCTGTAGAAATCAATAGGGCTTCTCTTTGATCAACCCGAGATATTTTAAAACCTATCCGATTAATTTTATTAACTGAATCTGTGGGGCAATGTCCTCCTAACTTGGAGCAGGAAGAGTTTGCACAATGAGAAGGGTGATTTTAAAAAACAAATGGGAATGGCTTTTCTTTCCTTTTTCTTTTTTACAGTTTTTGGCTTCAGAGGACTGCAAGGGGTGTGGTGATGGTGCAGTAGCATCTCCTGCATGGCCATATCTGGATTTTGGGGGCCCTTTTTTAT